TGACTGAACCCAGCTCTAATTTGAATGTGAATGTTTAAAAAATTCGGTGTCTCGAAACGAAATTGAATGCAAAAGGTCTAAAAAATAAAGTGGAGAAAATTTGCTCGAACATGAATGCACGTTAATGAAATTGATTGCTGCTTTGACGAATTCGGCCCGAAGAACCTATATTATTTTAAATATTTTGTTTTAATTATGCAAGGTGATGACTTCTCAAGTGATTCACCTCGTTAAACCTTCTTCAATGCCTGAAGATTACCAGAGCTTTGTGTGGAACAGGAGTGGTTTCACTGATATCAACCAACCAAGGTTCTTCCTCCACGGTTCCTCATTCGTCGGGAAAAGCGGTCGAGAAAACCAACGTAGGAGAGAAAGAAGCAGTGAGGGCAGAGGTTTTGGACAAGGCCATTATATTGGACGAAAATCTTCTTTTGTGAGGAGAACGATGGGATAAGTAGAGGTTTTATGGTAGTTTAAGAACAGTGTTGACGTTAAAACTAGATCAAGAACATGCATTCCTACTGGCTCCAGCCCACGAGACCAAGAGCCTGCGAGACCGACAGCTTGCGAGACGCACAGCCAGGAAGACCGAAAATGTCGGTCTTACCGGCCTTTGGAATAGTTATTTCACTTATTATTGTCATTTCTATGGCAAATTTTAATAAGCCTGAAGGTAATTAAATTCCTTAGATGTTTCTTCCAAGATCCTTTTCAGTTTTCTGTCATGTACAGTATCAACTTTGTTTTTGGATACGTTACCCTTTCGGAAAAGCATCTTGCATACCTTCGGGTCGCCAGGGGGGAAATATGCATTAGATTTACCAATATTAAGAACTTGCCTATAGAATCATCAATATAAATCATCACGTGATAAAAAATCTGCATAGACACATTGACAGAAAAACAAAGAGCGAACAACGCGCTGAATTTATTCACTTTCCGCAGGATGCGTTGTGTCTGTGGGGATACTTGATGAACGTTGGCTAAGGGTATGCCGGCGTGAAACATCACGTGGCTTACAATCCAAATAGAATGCTACCGGATTTCTCCGGAGAGCCGTAAGGGAATGAGCGATGCATTAATGTAAATGCGCCGTTTTCTTGTGCGACATGAAACATAAGATCAGTCGGCTATCGGCACGGTAAAATAGAAAGCATCGCCGAAGGGATATGCATGAAATTTGATACATTGTAATAGTAATTTGTCCTTGTCCTTATAGCATTATTAGAAGTATTTCATATCAAGCTAAAAGTCTCATTTACAAATTCCATCTCATTTTTCGTGATAATAATAACAATTCTAACATTGATAGCAATGTGGACTGATAATCAAAACGCTTATCGTTTGTAGTAAGATTTTCTTACGTATCGCTCTTTATTCTTTCTTGTCCAGTTCCCTATGTGCCCCCGTTTTTGAAAAATATTGTTCCTGTCTGGTATCGTTCATTCTGTCTTTCCTACCTTTGTTTGTTTTTCTTTCTCTTTTCATCCTTCCATCTTTCTTTCCTTATTCTTTTTCTTCTTTCTTGGATTTTACTTCTTTAAATATTATTTTAATCGTCCGGGGCCTATTCACGACAAGCTTTGTTTTGCTGTATTCCCGTCCACCGTTTGAAATATAAAGTTAGGGATTTATTCTGTATTTCATTTTTGTCGTGTTCAACATCGGACATATTTAATAGATGTATGTTTACATCGTTCTCTAAATGATGAAAATGGCATTATTGTGTTTATAACATAATTTATCTCATATATATTATATACATGTATATTTCCATAGATGTCTACAAATCTTTTTTTTCTGCCGACGGCTTTGAAGTCACTTACTTTACTTTAATCATGTTTATTTATTAGCTAATAATGTATGAACTCTTCTTTTATTCATTGGTTTTGTGCAGAAATGTGATTAAAAACAAATGCATGAGATTTAACGTTCATTAAGGCTTCATATTATTATTTTTATTGAATCTTTCATACACTCTAGGCAAATACTAACCAGCAAGATGAAGTGAATTAACAGTGCAAAACCTACAGGGGATTGATTATCACGTGAAATAGAGGTCCCTCTGTCATGTTGGTATTTCTAAAGATAATTGGGTCGAGTTGTCATTACTCACTCTAGCGCCGCCCCTGAATGCATAATTATGCACCGTCCGATAGCAAATGTTTTTGATTTTCATCAATAATAGAATGTTGTGTGAAGTTTTCGTTTGTCATACTAAGTCTCTTCTCTGGAAATCTCTAACAAGGTTCACCATTATGACAACTGTGGTCATTGCTCCATCAAGTCACGTCGAATATAATTATATTCAACTTTATTCAAAAAAGTTTTCAGACAGAAAGGCATCACGCCTCTTAAAAAGAACTATCTACCATTCCATCTATTTTGAAATATACTCATAAATATGGAGAGAGAGAGAGAGAGAGAGAGAGAGAGAGAGAGACAGAGAGACAGAGAGACGGAGACAGAGAGAGAGAGACAGAGAGACAGAGAGAAAGAGAGAGTGTGTGTGTGTGCGTGTGTGTATGTGTAAATTATTTATATGAAAAAAAGTGTGTGAGAGACAGGGAGAGAAAGAGAGGGGGAAGTAGAGAGAAAGAGAGAGAGAGAGAGAGTAAATTTGAATACAAACTCTTGCAAAATTAAAGTTACATTTATTATGTACTACTACCTATGCCTTCAAAATTGGAATATATTTCAAAAGCATGAGATAATGGAGATGAGGATCCCGATTTTTTTCTTCATCTAAAAGGGAGATAAAGTCAGCCGTAAAAGCTCCGATTCCTCTTGACGCTCTTATATCGGAGTTTGTGTAACTAGTGGGGATTATGATCAGATGGTATGTTTTATGGCTAGTGGGAGATTTCAGTCGTAAGCTTTAAAGATGGAAAGAGCCCCTTAATCCGCGCGGGTAATGGAAGTTAGCATTCATAAGTGACATGTGCGACTCTAAACCGCAGCGGCAAATGGGACTTAGGCTTCAAAATGTGACACTAATGAGTCCGAGGGAGCGATCTTATCGGCATCTCCCGAGCATCCTCTGCGCTAGACGTTATAATTATATTCTGCGCTTCAAATGTTGCGACCGCGGAACTTTTTTGTTTTTTTCACAACCGTTCCATGTCATTACTGTTTAATACAATTAAATTACTAAATGTAATTTGGGTGTCTCTGATGTTATTCGGTGTCCATGCTGTTGTTTGGTGTTCCTTGAAGCGTGTTTAGGCTTCACAGTGACCACATGCTCAACATGTGCGTGTTCACTATACTCCAATCCATGACACCTATGACTCTATATGGTCTGGGGGGTGTTTCATGAAACAATTAGTCGGTGGTTTTCACCGACTAATATCATGTTCACCGACAATTTAGTCAGCGCTGACTAAATTTGACCAATCACAGGCCTGGAAAATAGTTGGTGACAAAAGAATTGTCGGTGAACATGATATTAGTCAGTGAAAAGCACCGACTAATTCGTCACCGTTTTCACGAAGTGTCCCAAGAGCGTTTTAGCGTACAGAAACAAATTTTGAGATAAACGCGTTTAAAGTTTCACTTTTTTACAATCGCTGTTTTCACGGGGAAAAAGTATGTGATGGTATTCATTTTTTTGGATATCTTGATAGTACACTATCTACAGAATGAAATGATATAAGTTTTAAGTGGAAATAATGTTTATTTAAACAATAATTAGACCTCAATCACAGAGGACAGTCAGAGGACAGTTCGTGAAAACGAAAAACTTGACATCCACGCTTAGGCTCGTCTTCACGTAGTGGCCCCGCAGCTTACGCGGCCCCGTTTCCCCTGTTGGTTATGTGAAATTTCGTTTTTACGAACCGTCCCAGTTGACGTGCGCGCTGTGCAAAGCAATGCCCATTTGCGTACCCCCCCCCCCCCCCCCACCCATAAAAATATATTTGTCATACCTAGCTGATTCTGTTTCCTCGAAATCACAGCACTATATTCAATGTTAGACTCGCATATCACTCTGCCCCATCCAGAAATTCATCTTGAATCCTTCACATAATGCAGGAAATGCAATAATTTGTTAGTGACTCTGAATGCCTGTTATGGAAATTCTATATACTGTCCTGCTTCATATGTGATTTAAGTTTAATTGAATATTTTTGTCAATGATCAATAGCATATTTGTATACTTTTTGTTTGGGGGGGGGGCACCCCAAGCATTATGTACAACTTCTTCTCAATTCTTTCTTTCTTTCTCTCTCTCTCTCTCTCTCCTCTCTAGCTCTCTCATGCAAACAAGAACATCCCCCTCCTCTTTCTTTCTCTCTCTTTATCTCTCTTTTTGTCGTTTATTACCCCTCTTTGTTGTCACATAAGTCATTATCATTTTAGTACATTACTCTCTCAGACACATTTCTCCTATAAACAAATCTAACTAAATAAGAATAAACGTTGAGTAGCACAAAGCAATCAAATCTTAAGATTAATACTTTCGTCTTGATTATGACTGCATTTATTTCTTTGCAATATACAGTAACTGGAATCGTTTTTGTACAGTTCATTTCACAATTACATGTACAATCATTAAAAATTGATAAATCATAATAATAATAATAATAATAATAATAGCCTAATAGTTCACTCAAAATTTTATTAAACTGAAACGGAAATTCTTTTTGCCCAATTGATCGTGAACCCGGCAGCCACTGAGCAGCGCCAGATCGACGTTGCTCTATCCCTTATTGTTGAACGTCAAACAAGGTAGCATCAACTCCCATCTTTTAACGTCTTTTGGTATGACGCGGCCGGGATTCGAACCCACGACCTCCCAGTTGTGAGGCGGACGCTCTACTGACTGAGCCAACACTCCGGTGTAATGAATCATTTTTGAATATCAAAATTGCAACTTATTTAACTGTAGCCCACACTCATGGCAAAAAATACAACATGGTAGCTCTATAAAGAAGGGGGGGGTACCGGTGTTCTTGGAAAATTCTGAAATGCAAATTCACAAGGCCACTGATTAGGGGGAGGGAGGGTTACAATATAGTTTGAGTACTGCCACAATGGAAGAGGAGCTTAAAAGAAAATCATTAATTATTTATATTTTTTGTGTATGACATACAAAGTTGTCAGCTGCATACGTCCCTGTTGCCTCATAAAATTGCAGATCTGAGATTTACATAGATGTTGTAATCTAACTTTTCAAACATTATTTCTTATTCTATGTCTGATTTCTTTCAAATTTCACCAGTCCATTACACTCATTTTGTTCTGCTTTAACATAAATCAACTTGTTACAAAGGTTGGATTGCCCTTTGAAATATAAACTATTAGCAATTAATATTAGTCCTACATGCCAAATCCTTCTAAAAACATACAACACTGTAAGTTTATGGGATTAACACTGTAAGTTTATGGGATTAAAACTTCTTACATGCAACTTTCATATGATGGATGACCTTAGTCTGTGCTGTTCTTAGTGAGGAAGGAGGGAGGTTGTCACTGTCAAAATAATAATAACAATATGCTCAAGGCGCTCCAACTATTACCCTGGCTCTGCTGGGCAGCCGCTTTCGGTGCTCACAGCAGAGTGGCAAATGTAGATTAATATCTTGCCAGAAGACATTACTGCTGTGGCGGGACTTGAACCATGGATCCTGTGATCCACAGTCCAACGACTTATCCACTAGACCACAAAACCTCTAAATGGAGGCACATTCGGAGTCAGAGTCTCCTGTCAGCGTTGCAGTCCCCATCCAGTCCACATCCATCTAGCTCATAGTGACTCTTGAACCCACCCTAAGCCTTCCGTTATATCGAAGATCTCGTTTCTTGCCACAATTGATCTCTCCATCACGATCCCACCTAACAATAACTTCTGTATTTTTGTCCATCCTAAGAGGTAATTGACAAAAGATTGTTACAATCAAGTGATCAATAACTCTGTTCAATGATAAGTAGAGAGGATATAGTAATTTTATTTCATAAAACAGGAACGAAACCTAGAAACGGGTATTAAATAAAAAGTGGTTTTACTCTGTGCTAAATTGATATTTTGAAATATACAGTAACTATAAATAAAATCAGAATATGAATTTAAGGTCTACTTTTAACAGAAAAAAAGCGAAGCATGCACCAAGTAGAAAAGCAGATTTGCAATTGTTTTATAAATACTGTTGCACCATTTATTCACTTAGAATGCAATTTGTGACATTGTGGCACTAAATTCCTGGTAGGAAATCAGAGTGGTATAACTCCTATTTAAAAATATGAATGGCTTTCCTGTGTTCAACACTTTTAGGTTGGGAGGATTGGTATATTTTTTTAAAAACTGTGACAGCATACTCCATGGTCTGTATGGTACTATTGTATTCCATTTCAATACAAAATGTAGCGGACATCTATACAGTATTTATCAACCACTGAAGATGATATGATAGGGTTCCATATGTATTACTGGGTTTGTTGTCAATCATTGAATTGATATGTTCATATCTAAAGAAGATATAAAATCTGCAGGTTATCAGCAAATTTGTGATGAATGTTATAAACCCAGTAAGTAACAATGAATGCACTTGCATGTACTTGTCTGCCAGATTGAAAGAAACTTTATTATATCAACTTTCAGAAAGACCACTCAATAAGGATCAATATTCAAAGTTAGTCAAGTGTATAATATCAGTCATTATTATTTATGGTGCAATTATCGCATAAAGACACACGTGATGTAGCAGCGGGTAATATAAGAGCATATTACCATACGTTTCACATCTGGGTACTTGTACATGATACATGTATAAGTGATACTTGACATATAAGAAGAGGATAATTGATAATAATAACATTGACTGGCTCACATTTTGGTTGATATGAGACAATATTGCCCTCAACATAACCATATTGCCCTCGTCTTTGACCCGGCCAATATGATTATATTTGGGCAATATAGTTTCATATTCCCATTAAAGCCAGTCAAAATTATAAAAATATTTCATATATAAACAATATAAAATGCAACAAATTAGGTTAAAACTTACCTTTGATGACTGAGGGGACTTAGCTATTCAGTTGGTCGGTCTGTCAGTCGTTTGGTCTGACCCCCAAAACCGTGGTATTGGAAAAGCAATCAGTTCAAGGGCAGAGGGTGAAGATGCTGGGTTAAAAGGAGAATATATTTGATAACTCATGATGGATGCAGAAAACCCTTAAAAAATTACAGGCATCAGGTTAATGCATATTATTTTATTTTTTCTGTGATGAAACAACACAAATTAGTGTAACTCTCCTTCTTCACCCCCTTCCCCCTATGAAAAAAAGACAATAAGAAAAATACAAAATATAAGATGAAGCCTGTCATGTTGTAAGTTGATACACCATAAGTAGCTCAAACATGACATGTTGGCAAAATGAATGTCTGTCACGCACATTAAAGAGCGAGGAATTTGTGTTTGATGCCTTACAATACCATCAACTGCCTAAAACCTTTCAAAGCAAGATCAGTCATGCGTTTATGAAAAAAAATTGAGTGTTTGGGAACCCGTCTTCTTTGGAGGGCCCTCCTAGCACCCCCACCACTTTGCGCACATTAGAAAATTTCTTCCCAGCATAGTTTTGTCCATGGATCATCGTTATGTAAATGAAAATAGTTCATTTGTTTGCTAAAGATTGACCCCTCCCCCTCGCCAGCCCAACTCCCAATCTATAACTTTTCTTTTGGAGCTAATTTCCTTACCACACATACCTTGTCAATTTGCTAAAAGCTCTCCACATCAGCGGCACAAACTCCTACATGGACATCAACCACTGGGGGTGCTAGTGGTCCCTCATCTCTTGCGTATCCCAGCTGTCTATTCTACTGGTAAACTATGAAAAAATATGAAAAGTATTTGTTTAATTTTTCTGCATTTGTTCAAAAAAGCCACTTCATCTCACGGTTGAATATCCCTTTAACTTATTAGCAAGCACATCATTATCTAAAGCAATTAAGAAGACCTTGCATAATTAAGTCTCAGTCTTGCAAACATGGGATGAAACAACCCAAATTAGTGCTAACTCCCCCCCCCCCCCCCCCTCACAACGTGACGGACATGTGCGCTATACCAGAAGCAACTACGGTAGTACTATTATTATAAGCAAACCCCCCCCCCCCAACAAAACAAAAAGCCCGTCATCCTCTAAGTCCAAGGCAAAAGGTACACCTTAAGTAGCTCAACCACAACTTTGGTGGCAAAATGAAATTATCATGCACAATAAAGAGGGAGGAATTTGTAGTGGACGTCTTCCCATACCATCAGCTTTATCTTTGTCTTTAAAGCAAATTAATTAAGAGCAGGCATGCGTTTATGAGCATAAGGCCGAGTGTATAAGAAGCCGCTCCAGCCTATGCTAGGTTGACCCCCCCCCCCCCCATCCATTAGTACCTCAACAACATGCTTAAAGCTCTCCACGTCAAACTCCTACTTAGACATCAGCCACTGGGAGTGCTAGTGATGGTCCTCTCAGCCGGCTATTCTACTGGTAAAACCGGGAAGAAACATGAAATGTATTTGCTTCATTTTTCTGCATTTGCTGAAATTAAGCCACTTCATCTCAATTCTCATGGTTGGATTTCCCTTTAAATTATTAGCAAGCATTCAAGCATACCTGGCTTTACTATTCAAGTCTCAGTCTCGTATTTATAACATGAACATGGAAAGAGCTTACGAGGGGGCCATGTAACATTTAAATCTAGTACTAGGAGTACGTAAGTACTAACGAAGTAGATCTAGACTCTAGGCTCGCGCTCGAGCCTAGACTCAACTCCTACGTCGCAATTGCAATTTTATGATTTGGCATTATCATATCAACATTGACATTGAATTTTAACCAAAATGTGCACTTGGCTAATTGGGCCTTGCCTTGGAGGCTTGGGCTGGTACTGCTTAATCAGTTAACACAGTTAATGTAAAATTATTATTAATGATATCTCCCCTGCCCTGGCCGCTAATATTTTTTTTACACGCTAGTCTGGCCAGTTTCGCCGTAATACTAGTAAAAGTGCGCTGGAGGTAAAGCCTACATATAGGCATGCACTAGGCCTACTGCAGTTTAACTTGATTGCTCTCTAGCTGAACGTTCGGTCGTTCGTGTCTCAAGCTTAGATCAAGATTAATGTAAAGTTCCTAAATTAAATTAAAATAGATTAAGTTTTTTAATTCCATCGCCCAATGGCTGAGATGGCCGTCTCATTTAAAAGGGCCAGCTATGTCTTTATCTGATGATTGTCATGCACGATGTACATGTTTATCATCATGCTCCTCGCATGTAGGCTGCTAGACTAATATTAGTCGTTTCAATGGTGTTTATCATAGAAATGGCCTGGCTAGCGTGTAAAAAAAAATTGCGCGCCCTGGCCTGGGCTTCACTCTTCAGCGAATTCGCCTTGTGACTCGTGACATTGTTGTTATTGCATGTAACTGCTCCTGCACTTATACATGTTCAAGCTTATCTAAGATACTGTGTTACTTAATACTTAGTAGCAATCTGTTGATAGTACTAGTAGTAGTAGGCGAGTACTACGTACTAGCCTACTAGTACTAGATCTGCATACTAGTACTAGACCGACAATACAACTCACGCAGAAAACAGTGCGTGGGACTGTAATGACCTATCTCGCCATTTCGTAACTTGATATCCGTTTAGAATATGAGTTTGTTTATACTGCTACAGACGATATTATTGAACGATGCATAACATTGTTTTAAAATAAGTGAAAATAATTACCTAGGGCTGTCAGATTCCTCTAACAATTCCGCCAGAAGCACCGGCATCTGTGACAAAGGCTTCGCGGAGCCGGTTCGTGTACGATTATCAATAGCAGACTACATTTGCGCGAAAGAGGCCACTTCGTGAAAACGGTGTTTGCCAGTTGTACCGCTTGTGATACGTTTCGTGACGTCACGTATGACGTAATTAAGCAAGATTAGACTTTGAAAATTACTGAAGTTGTAGACATTTATATACATTGCTCAAAAACGGTCAAAACTCGAAATTAAAAATTTCAACGATTTTGGCCACTGAGGCCACTTCGTGAAAACGGTGACGAATTGTTTCATGAAACACCCCCCAGGTGTTCCATCATGGAGCATATCGGTGCATATACCCCCAAACTAAAACACTATAAGATGTGTATCCTATACACCTTTGTACTAAATGAGCTCATCCCCTGAAAGATCCATATTATTTCTAATTATAAGATGATGACGTGGATCCTAATCAAATGATTGGTTGAGAGCGTACACGTGACCAGGCATTTAATTTGCCTAACACGCAATTTTGATTATGACCGTTCTTTATCAAATGCTAATGACCGGTCATTAGTAAAATCATGTTACAAAACATCATTTCATAAAATAAATAAAACAAAATCTTATAGAACAAAATATAATACGCATCATTTTATTCGGGCATTAGTAAAATTACCCACACTCAGTACCTTCAAAAAAAGTCCAAACACCCTCGGCTATCGCCTCGAACGTGTTAGACTGTTCCAAAGGTACCTTGTGTTGGTAATTCTTACTAATGCCCTAACTGCTGTGTATTACTTGTAAAATATGTGAACAACTCTATTTTTCTTGTCAGTTGTTTGTTTTTGTTCAATCTGTGCTCTCTCATAAATACTTTTGCACCGAGCATGCTCCGACCAAATACTGACGAATCCTATAAATAAATATGGCAGGTAATTACCAGCATAATTTTGAAAGGTTCTAATCAATTTTCGTAATTAAAGATTCGTTTATATTGACAGTTCATACCAAACTTTATCCCTTGCGAGTAAACAACCCAGTAACATGATTTTGTCGATTTATTTTCGGCGTGTTTTGGGTCAGTTTGTAACTTGGTCATTACTTAAATTTGTCTAAGGTTACATCTGCGGGAGAAAAAAAAAATCGCTACCGATGCTTGAAATTATGTCTTAATTAAACAATAACTGGATGACATAATTTTTTTTTTTCAAACAAGAACTATACAAAGTCATGTAAGTATCGGTGTATGCCCGGTTTTTGTTAGAAGTGACGGAGAGAGAGAGAGAGAGAGAGGGGGTGGGGAGCAAACAAAAAGTGTTGGTGTGTGAAGGGGGTGGTGGGGGAGGAGGGGCAGGAGCTGTGGTCTAAGTAAAATGTCAAGGATATTATGAAAAATCAAGGTTGCATGGACTACCTGGGGGAACTGGGCGAGAGAGAGAGAGAGAGAGGGAATAGAGTCACTTTGATACAAATTTAGAAAATATCGATTGATCGGGGTGATGGCGGTATGATCTTAAGGAATTATGAACATCCAATTAGGTCTAGTGTTATATCATGGTCCGATGAAAATGCGTTTTATGAGGCTCGTGGAACAATGTTTATTGGGACGACAATTTTTCTCACACCCTAATTAGCTTCTTTCGGTTTTAGAATCACATTATTATGTTATCACTATAAACTGCTCTTTTATATTGCGCTAAGTTCCCCCCTTTCGGAGTGTATAGAGAGATTGCCGTAAAGTACCATCGAAGACCAGCCAGAACAATGAATTTGTACTAATATTGTTAGACAGTGACATAATAACCAGCAAAAATACTTATTGACAAAAATTAAACCTTTATACCACCTTTGTGTTCATTGAGGGCATTCTAGTAGGCCTGTATAGTGGTCACTATCTCTTAGACGCATGGTCTCAAACTTTTAAGCTTCGACTTTTGCGATGTTAGCGGCCTTCGAATTAACATGTTGTTGAATAGTATAGGAAATATGTAGGGGCCTCAGTCAAAACCTCTCACTTGAGTAAGTTTCATTTATTCTGAAGTCCAATACTTCTTTACCAAGAAACAGAAATCAATACAGGCAACACATTCGTGGTGACTTCTCTCGCTAGAGATATCCAGACGCTCCTGCAAGAAATTATATTGTTTCACCTCCCCCACCCTGTAGAAATGAAAGAGGACCGGGGAAAATACATCTTTGCATGCTTTAAGGACATAAGATACTTGATGTGAGGAGGAATAAGACGCATTCGAATGAAGAGTTGCAAGAATGAAGCTTGTAAATTTGAAAAGAGCCCTTTCCCGCGGTCAAGCCCCTCTTAATCTCTTTGAAGTCGTCATGCCAAGGGACATTATCCTCAAGAGCTCTCTTCCTGCGTCTTATTTCCATGATTAACATGCGGAGCGAGACCAAGTCTGTAAAGACTCCTATAAGTCACGGGAGCATCTTTTGACAAATGCCGCTAGGGGTCGAATTAACCCCAGAATTATCGCTCTCTCGTGTGCATTTTACTCGGCTAATCGTCGTCTGACCATAAGAAGGTCGTAACAGCCATGCATTGTCAACGGCAGTAAGGACCTTCTTGTGGACAGCAGTCGTATAATGTTCTTCAACCCTGTCTTTTGCTCTTCGATCGGACAGAAGAGTGTTGGGGGTAATTTCAGAACACAAGATTGATGACGCAATAACACGCGAAGCACCCTCTTCATTCGATTCCCATCGCCATTTTAGTCATGATGCAAGCTACCTCATTAAACGGTTGTAAGACAACTTGGTACTGCGACGATTGGCCCGCGTCAATTATCTACACTAGGTCACTAACCGAGTTATTAGCTTCAACCCTGGACCCAGCACTGTAACTAACCCTCACCATAGCCCTAAACTTAACCTAAAATCTAATTGTAACCCTAACCCTATACTTTTTTGACGAATAAATTCCGGAACAATAATGTAGTAGGAGGAAAATGTCGAGTCAACCAATAAATATGTTTGAGGTTAGAGTTGCCATTTTTTGTCCATACTGCACGCTCGTCAAAGCGAATGCGCGGACAAACATTAATAGGCCCACATTTTTCATGCGTAATGATAAATGTGCCGAAATTAATTGTATATGCTTCACAAAGATCTCCGTGGGTCCACCAAGGAGGGGATAGGGGCGTAGCCTCTCAGTTGTCTACACTGATACTGGCGTTCGGTTACAGTTACTCGGTAACATTGTTGAAGGTTGATGAAAAAAATGCTTAATTTTTGTATAAAATGTAACTTATTATATTCCTTCTACTGTACTAACCCTCTGACATCTGCCAAAAATCCTGAACAAAATTTTCAAACCACGAAGATATCTATGGTTTTCTTCGAAGGCGTCACTGTGCAACACCCTCTAACAGTGATTAACAGGAAATTCTCCCAACCATTTTTGAATTTTCCCAACTGTTTTCCATGAAAAAAAGACATAAAACAGGCTATTAAAAATCTGTCAACACTAAATTATATGTCTGGAATGGTATGTAGAGCCAATTAAATTGCAATAATATAGTTGGGAGAATTAAGGAATCGATCAGGTCAGTTTTTCCCAATTAATAATGGTCCGTTTTTACTCAATTTTTCAGATAATCTTTAATTGCACATACATCTAATATTGAAGTCACTACCTTACCATCACTATCTCTCATCTGAACAATGTTACCAAGTCCCTTTAAGTCGATACACAAGATACAGGCCTTCCTGGGTATTTTTTGTTGTGCGATGTGTTCTTCTCAAATAGATTCACCAAACTTGAAGTATATATATAATGTGTATTACCTTTTCGACTTTTACATAATGTTATACACATGTTATACACATTTTGCAACACATTCAGTCTCATCTAAAAATCAAGTCAGGTTTCATATTATAAATTAACTGATAGGGATACCGTCTGAATGCTTTTAGACATTATTTGGGGGCAAAATAATCAATAATGTATTGCAACTGATGTTGCCCATTACCATTTTTGTCAAAATGTCCCTACCGTATACTTAAACAACCTTCCGTTTATGTTGTACATGTAGGAGAAATAGAATTCCTTTATTTTCACAGTGTTACCTTATGGTGAATGTTATGATGTTTATGCCAGCACATTCTTGCAGGATCCACTTTGTTTATTTCCTTTCAAACATTGGCCATGTTGATCGTCCTATTGTAGATTGAAAGGCTTGCCGCGTGCATGTCAGGGTCATTGCTGATCCTACTGCAAACAAACCAATTCGACATCATGATGTGATAACACCTAAAACGGAATTGCCTGGATGCTCCAGACAACGTGAATTCTAAGCTTTTGTTTATTTTTTGTTTATTTGAGACATATTTGATTCCGTCAACGCGGAAAAAAGTCATTGTAGCTTTGTTGTACTATACAGTCACGATAGTGTTCGAGTCACTGTTCCGTTTGAAACTAAAAAGAAAAAAAATTATTAACACTTTTAATACATGATGTTTTATGTTGCAGACCCAGGGTTAGATATCTCAGGTAAAACAAGAGAGAGAGAGAGAGAGAGAGAGAGAGGGGGAGAGAGAGATAGTATGTTAGTGATTTTCAATGCATCTTATTTTAATGCAGGCTTTTTAAACGTCGCTTTACTCGTTACATAGTATATATTTCACTAACATCCCGTTTCTCTCAAGCCACTTTCTCTCGAAATTTAGGTATTTATTTTTTGTGACAAATTCGTTATCGTACATTTTGTTTCTCATATTATCTCACTTAAGATTGTGGTTACCTTTTTTAACCAAAAGCTAAATTCATGACATGTGTTATGTTGATTAGGATATAACGATAACGGATCGGAATCTTCAGTAGATATGGACACACCCTAAATACATGTGATGTATATAGGCCTATATATAACGTGTATAAAGATGTTTGCATTCCATGAATAAGCGTTAAACTGTAAACTCAACAATCTGGATTGGCGTGAAAAGTAATTTGTGAAGCATGGATTATGATGATAACATACACACCCGCTTTCTTAGAGATATCTTGTCTATCCCATAGTCTCCAACTCTCTCCCGTTCTCCATCTCTCTCTCTCTCTCTTTGTGTGTGTGTGTGGGGGGATGGGGATGTGCATGTGCGCGCGCGTGTGTGTGCGTATTGTGAGTGTGTGTGTGTGTGTGTGTGTGTGTCCCTGTCATCTAATCTGTTCCCCTCTCTCTCTCTCTCTCTCCATTCCTCTCTGTTTGTCCTTCCCTCTCTCCCTCTCTGATTTTTTTCTTTCCCTTCCCTTCTCCTCTATCGTCCTCTCCTTTCCTCTCATCCTCGT